CTGTGTACCTGGCATTTGGTTATAGGGAAGAGTGTATATGAATACTAGCATACGAGCTGCAGGTTCTATACATCTCCTGTTCTTAGCTCTCATTCTTCAGATGTGAGTATAAAAGAAAGAGGGACAGAAGGGGAGAAACTTCCTAACATGAATGGTTATCTTGATCTATATGTGCAAATGGTACTTTTACTGTGGGGGATGGGTACTATCCAGGAGCTGAAACCTAAGTCTTATGTATCTGTTTGGTTTTGGATGTGTAGGAGGTAAATATGTGGTAGATCCTCACAAAGCCATGCTTTTGTATGAGGCTTTGACTACAGGAGAGTTGACATCTAGTAGGACCTGCAACTAGATTCCTGTGTGGGACATTGGTTATAGAGGAGGATGCACAGTACAAATTCAAGTCAAACAGTGGGTTGGAGGTAGGAGGTGAGGGTGAGTTTGTACCTAGCAGACCACACGAGCATCCCTGGTCTGGGGAGTTTTGCCTGCAGGAGGAATTAACATGAAGAACCTGACTTTGACTGTAGGGCCTAGACTTGTTCATGTGTATGTACTGAGCATATTGTCACTAGGGTAGGGGTATCTAGCAGTACTGATCAAGTACATATGTTTGTGTATTGAACCTTGAGATTAGGGCAGGAGGTATCTATCATGGCCTGACACCTAGTCCTGTGTACGTGATCTGTTTAACAGTTGAACAGAACTGAAACATAGGCCTGATTATGGGGCTTCATCTATAATGGATGTGATATATAATACAACCCTACACTTCTCCCTTTGTGTATGTGAATGCATGTTGTATGTATATATGTATGTATGCATGCATGCATGCATGCCTAGTGTTCTCTTCCAGGGGAAGTAGTATCTTGCAGGATCTGACATCTTGCCATGTACATACATGGTTTTGTGTTTGTGTGTGAGTACACATGTGTGTATTTGGGGATTGTGCTATAGTGAAGTTTGCAACTTTAGCTGGTGCATAGTAGGATCTGACATACATACAAGCAACCACACACACATAAGCACACAAAGCACACACACATGCACACATACGTACAAACACATGCACACATTCACAAATGCACACACAAACAGGGATAAGTTCTAGGTTACATTATTTTTCCCTTCCCTTATGGCTGAAGCCCCACACTCAGTCCATTTTTCATGTACAGCTAGCCATCTGCTCTCTTAAACAGATCACACAGGATACCTAAATAGAACCTGACACCAAGCCATCTGTGTGTGTATGTGTGTGTGTGTGTGTGTGTGTGTGTGTGCGTGTGTGTGAATAAATACTGGATGGAGAGCTAGTTACATGTGTGGGATATGTCTGTAGGAGATGGGGTGAATAAAAGATACCTAGATTTGTGTGTGTATGCGTGTGTTATGTATGTGGGATATGTATTTAAGAAAGGGGGTACCTAAAAATATACTTATATGGTACCTGTGTATGCTTATATAGTTGGTCCTAACAGCTAGTTTTATATGTGGGCTCTGTCTTTAGGAGAGGGGGTGGCTATCAGGATTCTTAGGAGTGTGTGTGTGTGTTTGTGTGTGTGTGTGTGTTTGTGTCGTTGTGTACTTACATAGCTTGTTTAGACAGCTAGATATGTGTTTGGGATCTGTCTTTAGGAGAGTAGGTGCCTAAAAGGATACCTAAATGTGTGTGAGTGTGTGTGTGTGTTTACATAGCTTGTCTCGACCACTAGTTATGTGTGTCATTTGTCTGTAGGAGAGGGTGTACCTAAAAGGATACTTATATGTGTATATGTGTGTATACTTACGTAACTGGTCTTGACAATTAGTTATGCCTGTGGGACCTGTCTGGAATAGAGGGGGTATCTAAAATGCTATGTAGAAGGGAGTGTCTAAAAGAATAGTTAGAAAAATGTGTGTGTGTGTGTGTATGTGTGTGTATACTAACGCAGGTGGTCTTGACACCTACTCATGTGTGGGGATTTATCTGTAAGAGAGGGTTGCCTATACAGATTTCACGGTGTGGTGTGGTGGTGTTTAGGTGTGGGTGTATACTTACACAGCTGGTCTTGACAGCTTGTTATGTGTTTGTGACTTGACTGCAGGAGAGGGGGTGCCTAAAAGAATACTTAGGTGTCTGTCTGTGAATGTGTGTATACTTATATAGCCAAACTTAAGAGCTAGTATGGTTCTTTCTTTAGGAGCGGGGCTGCCTAAAATGTGTGTGTGTGTGTGTGTGAGTGTGAGTGTGAGTGTTTATGTGTTTGTGTTTATATAATTGTTCTTGAAGCTGGTTATGTGTGTGTGTGATCTGTCTGTAGAATTAGATGTGTGTGTGTGTGTGTGTGTGTGTGTGTGTGTGTGTGATTACATAGCTGGTCTTGAGAGTTACTCATGTGTGTGTGATTTGTCTGGAGGAACTGGTGACTAAAAGCTTCCCATAGGTGAGTGTGTTGGGGGGCATGTATACTTACATTACTGGTCTTGACAGCTTGGTATGAGTGTGGGAAACTTCGGTAGGAGAGGGTTACCTAAACGGATATTTAGATGTGTGTGTTTATATGTTTGTGTGTGTGTGTGTGTGTGTGTGTGTGTAGTTATATAACAGGTATTGACATCTTGTGGGCATCTGTATGTGGGAGAGGAAGTGACTAAATGGATACTGTGTGTGTGTGTTTACTTATATAGCTGGTCTTGAGAGATAGTTATGTATGTGGCAATTGTCTGTAGGAGAGAGGATTCCTAAAGACATGATACCACGGTGTGTTTGTGTGTGTGTGTGTTCGTGTATGTCTTTGTGTATACTTATGTTTGCTTTGGACAGCCAGTTATATATGTGGCATTTGTCTGTAGATGGGGTGACTAAAAAGGAAACCTAAGTTTTTGTGTGTGTGTGTGTGTGTGTGTGTTTGTCTTTGCATATTTATATTACAGGTCTTGACAGCTAGGGGATCTGTCTGTATAATGATGGTGCATAAAAGAATACCTAGATGAGTGATTCCATATGTGGAGGGTGTGTGTGTGTGTGTGTGTGTTTGTGTGTGTTTGTGTATTTATGTGTACTTTAGTTGTTAGGTAGGTATAACCTCACATTATTCATCACACTCCAGTCTGTAATGTGCCATTCTGGTTCAGGAATGGGGTCAATGTGGAACATGGGCCAGTAACTAGCAATGTAACATGAGAACAAGCATATTGTGCATCATAGGAAGGGGTTCATCAGAACCTGATGCCTGGCAATGACCCATTGATTGTTTGTTGATCTCAATGACTATGCTACTGATGTTTCATTGATAAATTGTTCAACTGTAGCAATTCTTGCGAGCACACCTCCCACTTTCCTTCTAAGATTTGTCTCTTCAAACTCATCACAGACTTGCAGAATATGATATTTAAAAGTTTAATACTAGTACTCTGTTGACATGAGACACTATTGATCGTGACAGCACCAAGCACAGATGTCACTCTGTCTGGAGTCTGATATGTCCTCAGGTAATGCCCTCATGGGCAAAGAACTGCCCCCATTTCACCAGCTGACTTTAGACATGCCGTCCTAGTATGACTGCAGGAGATAAATAAGAAGTGTGCTGAAGCTTGCCAAGTCGGGTAAGACAGTCTTTCTACCTCCCTGCTACTGTGTTGGTCAGTCTGATACCCTAGCCCTTTTCCAAAGCTGGTTGCCCTTATGCTGCTGTGCGAATTTGGATGACTGTCCAGGTTGCCTGCTGGTTCTGTCTTTGCTGGAGGTTTGGAGGCTGCTCACCTGGGCTTGCTGTCTATCAGAGTATTGTCTTCCTTCTTAGGTCTTTGATGAGTTTGAAGATTAGCCTGTCCCAATTACTGTTCTGTCTACTGAGATAGAAATATTAGGTACAGGACTTGAACTTTCCAGCTGAGAACTGCTCTATAGTAATATGTGTTATGCCTTTCCCCTAGGAATGGACACGTCATTATTGAAATTTACTCTTATTGTTTTACTTGTTTTAGATCTATAGGGTTAATGTTCATAAGTTTCCTTCTGCTAACACACACTTGAATTGTGCCATGATTGCATATTTTTAATTCAAAAGTCAGTCTTTTCTTTAGACTGAAATCAGAATAGAATACTAGTAGGTACACTAGAAGGTACCGGTGGTGATCACCACACCCACTTGGGCATGGCCACAGGTACTTAGGGCCGTGTGGGATGTAGGCCTGTGGAGAGAGCAGCAAGCTCTCTGGGTTCCAGTTGGTTCTTGGCAAACAGCTGAGACTGGAAGTTCTTAGAGCTGACCCTGGCTAATCGGTTTTTCATGTCAGTGAATTCTTCCACCCAAAAATAACCTACGATATACCTATGCCATGAACTTCATCCGATAACGGAACAAGCTTTTGTGGAGTATGAGTAACTAATATATAAATATATGTATGTTATCCTTCTCACAAACATCTGTGAAAGCATTAATGCCAATGTCTCCTGGAATTTTAGATGCCATTTTACGTATGACTAATGGTGTATCATAAAAGTACTTCCAATTGCATCCTTTGAATAGTGATCTCCTCTAGGTACCAAGTAATCAATAAAGCCAGTGAACATTCATGAAGAGCAAATGAGAAGCAACTTACCTACTGTAAAATAATTTCTGTAGACTCTTTACTAAGAAGTCATTTTAAAAGATTACTTCTCACCATCAAATCAATAATTTCCAATAAGAGGGAGAATTTTGCCATGAATAAATTTATCAACTATGATAATCTTGTCCAAATAATTTCAGTAGGAGATATCAGTGAGTTCCTGATCTGGAAAGTACTACATATATTCTAGTAAAAAACCAGGAATCTCTGGTTTGGGAATAAGTTGGTGGTGCAGGGTTTTTGTTGTAAGCCAAGAGAGAATGCTTGGTAGGAAAACTTGATTTCAGCTGAGTTATGTGGAAAACTGATTATCAGGGAGGCCATGTTATTTCCACATGACATCACGGGTCCCTTCCCTGAATATTCCAATGTATCCTGGAGCCTATGGAATCCTGTGATGTCATCTGTGTTGTAGCAACACCAACTGCCTTTGGAGAGCCCTTCAGTTTCCTCGAGGATGAACGTGTTGGAGAGCCTGGGGAATCTCCTTAGGAGACAGTATGGAGAGGGCAAAGAGACAAGGGAGAGGCAGAAGAGGCCTGCCTTTCAACCTCACTTAAAAGGATCAAGAAAGAAATGGTTCAAAAGGAAGAACAGTAAGTCCTAAGTAGAAAATGGGGAGCTCTCTGGAGAAGGTTGCTTTTAGCTGGGACATTGATAATGGGGAACAGGACCTGGGGTTTCTGGGAAGAAATTGCCCATCAGTGCCTGACATGGCTCCTGGAAGGCACGGATTCCTGGGTAGTAATTTGTCTCTCCCAGTAGCCAGGACCTAATAAGGAAAAAGCTATTTTGCTTGTACCACATATATTTCTATGTTGAAGAAGTGTGAGATGGTTGAATTATCAGGATCAAATGAGACCAGCATGAGGGAGGGACTGGTGTTGTGTGCTCAGCTACTGGCAGGTCATGACTGTACTTCAAGCCAGTGGATATCTTTAAGTAATGTTCACCTTCTCTGTGTCTCCTGACTTGTCAGTGAGTTGGCTTGGTGATATTTGAATCTCAAAAAGACATGAGTGCCTGTGGACAATGCTAATTGCCTTATGGTTTCTAAACCCACAGACTTATGAATTCTACAGGCAGGTTGAATTGAGAGCCTGCAGTTGTGAATGAGCCTTAGACATTTCTGTCTTAGTTAACTTGAATTATGTGCTGAGGCAGCCGAGAAAATCAGATGGTTGACAATCCCAACTGCCTTCAGAAATGGGAGAGCTGAGATGCCCTGGAGGGACATTTCAAGCCTGGGTAAAAATCCATTTGTGTGTCGCTGAGTCACAGGTATAGAGTGGTCTGTATATCCTCCACGGCTTGGCATAATACAACTTGACTCGTGTTCCTCTACCCACAGGGGCTGCTGTAGAACCATCAACTACCTCCTCCCTAGTCACTAAGAAAGAGATGAATGAGAAGATGGAGGGTATGAGTAAACAGCTGGATCAATTGGCCATGGAAACCAAGGAGCTTAGGGATTGCCTCATCTCCATCACTGAAGGATGCCCTGACGACAGGTATTCATTGTTTCCGAAGCCACCTTGACAATCGTGGTTGCACAATTTCACTTTTTGTTTATTTTCTCTAATTTCTGTGGCCCTATGTGTGTACACCTTCATGGTATCCTTTTGCCCATCACCGTGTTTCTCATTGCTTCCCATAACGAGCACCTGAAACCTGGGCAGGAGTCAGATGGGGAAACAATATTATTATGTGTCCTCTAAAAGAAAACCAGAGCCGATGGCCTGAGACACATAACTCAGAGACTGAAAAAGCGGTATGAGTTGCCTGCATGCATTTGGACACATCCCGTCAAGTGGCAGCTTCTATGAGATGTTAGCTGTTGTTAGTTGGTTGTGACTCTTTACATGCCAGGGAAGATGATATGTGATGAGCACAACATGGAGCAGCTGGAAAGCCCTGTCACCCATCTCATTGTATGGTTACAAGCCCTGAGAAAGATCCAAGCACATTTTGGTCTGCTCTGAGATACCACACCTGCAATCATTTCTTTAGTATCTCTTGGTAACAGTCTCTCTCACTCTCTTTTCCCTCTGTCTGTATCTGTCACACACACACACACACACACACACACACACACACACACACAAATAAACACATATGTGGGTTGGGTGGTTGTGCATTTCTTCAAGGTTACATCCCTAGACCTTGCCATAAGGTTACAGTTTTTGGTCATGTGGTGTTTTCTGTCTCTAAGTTCCCAGTGGATACCCATGATTTGCATTGGTATCCCCACATTTAGCATTACAGTTCTGCCAATATGCTCACTTTAGTGATATGTAGATATTCCGTTGATTAGTTTATAAATCTATGATAAGTTTCTGTAAGAAAAACATTTAGTCCTATCCACAAAAATGCTCATGGTGTGATTTTTGGCCTCTACATTTACAGACACCAAGCCTAAGAATTTTTATTTTATACAGAAGCAAAACATTATACCCTGTTTTTGTGCGCCCAGACCATGAATTAGAAACTAGGGACAGTGTTAGCCAGCTATTTCAGTGTTAGTGAAAGAACTCAGGCATCCCCACCTCTCTTCAAGTTAACATGATGTTTCTGCTGCCCTACGGTTATAACAGCATATTTAATAAGCACCAGATATTCCAAGGAGACTGAATGTGGCATTCCATGGGCTCCAGTAGCCTTGAACACAGCCAGAATTCATGTGGCCTATGAAAGGTTTGTTCACGGAAATTTTTGTTTCAAGGTCCATATCCTATCATCGGCCAAAACCTTTCTATGAAAATCTCCAGATGGAGCATAAGCAGGTCATGGATGACCTACAGAGATTGCAAAATGAGAACAAGGAAGCCTTGGAAAGATTCCATGAGATCACCGAGGAATCATGCTTCTATTGGTAAGTGTCTGTGTTGCAGGGGACCAGAGCATTGTGAAAAGTCCATCTCTGCCTATTTTGTGTCTGTACTGCAGAGTCCACAGATAGGTTCTAGCTATTTTGGCTTTTAGAAAGAATCATTAGCATGCAGATCTTGGTCTTGCTTTCATGACACTCAGTTTTGCTAATTGTGAGAGAGACAATTAGCTCCTCCCAGCCCCAGACTATCAACCTTAAATAGACTACAGTTCACTGATTGTCATCCTTCCTTATACTATCACGAAGTTATACAATTTGTCATGTTTCTGTGATATTCAACCATTAAATAGATTTTGCTGCTACTGCCTAACTGTAATTTTGCTAGTGTTATGAATCACGATGTAAGAATCTATTATTCAGGAAATCTGAGAGGTCAACCATGTAAGAGTAATGCCATCACCAAAGGAGTCATGACCCATAGTTTGAGGATGACTTCTCTAAGTAGAGGAATATTATGCAGCATGAGATTGGTGTCAGGAAGGTTCTCAAGCATAGGCGTCTAGCCCATATTGGACTTCTACACCACTTGAGTGTCCTGTCATCCCTCTGAGTGGCTTTGTCCCCTGCCTTCTGATGTGGCCCCATTACCATGGTCAGTTAAGGGCACTGAAGGAACTACCCACAGAATTAGAGAATCTTGGGTTTCTTTTTTTGGCATATTCAGAAATAGTTTGATTCTTACTGGAATTTCTAGTTCTCTACTTTTGGCCTTCTGAGAGCAGCTGTCATGGCTGCATTGACCACTTGTCTCTGTCACCTTTGGTAACCAGAGGTCCCGTTGAATTGATGGGTTATGGATGCAGGGGTGTTTGGAAGAGAGTCAAGGTCTTACTATCCAGAGAGTGTTTCTAGCAATCTGCAGCAACAACTCCAGATGGAGAAGTCTCAGGTGCAGTACGTGGTGGAGAAGCTGAGGCAAGAGACCAAGAAGGTGCTAGGGGAATGGATCCTGCTCCAGTATTACTTGGATGAACTGAAAGTCATCTGTGAGAAAGAAGAGCGAGTCATCCGTGACCTCCAGACCCAGGAGCATCAGGTAGAGAAAAGCAGCTGGGTCAGGGTCAGGTCCATCATTATTTACACATGGACTATAAGGGTGTCTGTCCATCGACAAAATTGTGGATTTACTTATAATTTATACACATATAAACGCACACAAACACACACACATACAAACACACACACTTTTCATCCTCTGCTTTCATGACATCCAACTGTTCATTTCATTGTCCATGCATCAGTAGTACTACGAAGGCAGTCTGTTGTGAGTACCAATTGCCACATACACCCTGCTGCTGTACTAGAGGCTGCAGTTCAAGCAGGGTGATGGGTCAATAAAACTTCACAGTCCCACATCACACTGTATTGGGAGTGGTGCTCTGTACACACTTGAGGGTGTTAGTTCCAATTCCTGTGGCTCATTTGGTTTGCAAGTTTGTATGATATCACAGCGGGGCAGGAGAAGCAGATTGCCAGGCAAGGAGACAATGTCAATCCAGTGGTTCTCTTTGTCTGCTCATTAGATGGCATGTGGCCTTTCTTCCTCATATTCTCTGGAATCAAAGGTATTCTCTTACCATGCACAAAACTTGGGTCACACTGACAGAACCTCCAGTGGGCCTTTGCCAGTAGTGTTTACTGTGTGTTTCTTTGGCAAATTCTCCCATCCTGGAGATTATAGTATGGAGATGATAGGTTTTCAGGGATGTGGAATTCCTGGAAGACAGGCTTAGAGTTTTGTATGTTGAAATCTTCAAAATGAGGGGCTGTTATGTTATCTGCTTGCCCTCTTTTCACCTCTGTCTCTGTCTGTCTGGCTATCTGTCTGTCTGTCTGTCTTTCTATCCCTCTCTCTTTCTCTCCCTGTCAGAGTCTCTATTTCTCTCTCTTTCTTTCTCCCTCTCTTCCCTTCTCTGTCACTCTGTTTATTGATATGTCCATGTCTCTGTTTGTGTGCACAGCTGTATATATGCAATCACCTAGAGAGGGCAGTGGAGGAAATTGAGGGGGTTATTATCCAATGCATGTGGAAGGTGTTTAGAGGAGACCACTTGGTTTGTCAGTCTCTATCCGGAAACAGGAATCCACCTTCACAGAAGCTTCCTCGAGATCCTCTGTGTGTGCTTGCACTTGTCTTAGAGTGAAATCATACCTATGCTCAAATCTCTACTAAGATCACAATCTTCTAATGAACAGGAGCAGCAGAGACTGGAGGCAAATCTACAGTCCCAGCAAAAGGAGGAGCTAATCATTGAGAAAAAGACCTTAGCAGGAAAGCTGCAGAATTACCTGACTGTCTCCCAGATGAGGTATGAGCCAGGAGTTGAAACTGGGAGCCAGGTTCAAGTCAGTATCTTCTACTTTTGATTTCTGCCTTTTGTGCAAGAAATAGGCAAGGCTCCAGGCAACACCAGGGAAACTACACGTCTGAATACTCTGCTGTTCCGGGCAACATGAACTTTTCACTAGGAAGTAATAGGCTTGATGATGTAGGCCTTTGTGTAAGGTTTTGTCTGGATATGCGGCATGAGAGTGCCCCATGGCCTTACCAGTTTTCTAAGCTGAAATGTCGTTTTATGTCTGCCTATAAAATGATGTGGTCTGTGTTTAACTCACCATGAATATTCTGTGTTTCTCCACTCTGCTGTTATTTGTGTATTTAATATGGTGTGTTGGAGAATGTTCTGTTCTTTCTTTATATAGCACATACATACAGTACTCAGATCAGCCAGCGACACTGGTAGAAGCCTGACAAATTCAAGGACAAGCTTTTCTGTGACCCTTATTCACTGGGGGTATAAACTACGACTACTGTCATGTGATCAATGCTACAGTTTTCAGCATAGTCGAGTATTTGTGAAGTCACATTTGACAGCTGACAATGCAGGACCCCACTAGGACTGCTCTCTGACTGGTCCTTCCTCTTCCAGATCAGAAAAACTGCAACAGGAGATAGAGAAGGCTTCAGGCCATGATGAGAGCACCCTGCAGACAGAACTGCGGTTCCACGAGCACTAAGAGACACAGGCAAGTGAGCCACCATTGCATTGTATTTTCACAAATAATGGCATTCTTGGTGAGGCGTTTCTTCCTCAAATCTATGTTTGTATGTGTGAATATACCCTGGTTTGGTCTAATTGGTAACAGAACAATGGTGATTTTGGAACTGACTGCCTTTCTTTATCTCACAGCACACTTTCAGAGAATTAAGGAGGTCAAAGGAAGCCACAGAAAAGCAAAAATCACAACATTCTCCAAAATAGAATCAAGACCTCACCATAAGAACTGTCAATCTAGCTGTAATCTCACCCGTGATGCTAATATTATGCTAAGTTATTTGGTATGTCCAATGTCTGATTCATGCGTTTCTTGTCTCAATTTCAGGAGTAACAAAATCATCACAAAGAAGTTTGAGATCCAAAATACCTTCCAAGAAATACTCAGAGCCCACACATCTACCAGCAAGTGGAGCTCAACAACATGGAGGGAGGACATGTCTCTGCTCAAAATTCTCATCCTGTCCAGTGCTGAAGCTACTGCTTTTCACTGTTTCTTCGTGGTTTGGGGTTGTTGTTCCAGTTTCACGTTTTATGATCCTTTGGATCTGAGTTTTGTTCTTGTTTTGTGTTTGATATTTTATTAAGATTATATGTTTTATGTACTCCATGCCCTGTTGAAGCCCTTTGTTCTTGTTTCATATTGATATTTGGCTAAAGCTATATATTTTATATATAAAATGTCCTGTTAATTCCCTACTGAGTGCAATGACTATTCCTTTTTTCCCTGGAGATTTATTTAAATTAGAAACAATGTAGTTTTAATGTGGTTCCCAATTATCTCTCCCTCCCAGCCTATCATACACTGCCAACCCAGTGCCCCATCCACCTTCTGCACCCCATCGATTTAGGCCTTGCATGTGGGATCATCAAAGTTTGTCACATCATTTAAGGCTGTGTCTAGGGCTTCTCCAGTGGAAATGACTATATTTAAATAAATAAAAAGTTTAAACTCTTCATTGTGTGTGGGAAGTTTATGATTCAATTTCATTTTTGCTTTATTTAATGGGCAATTACGCAACTGGTTTACAAAAGCAATTATGTTCTTTAATTTGGTCATGTAACCTACAAATTCCGGAGGAAAAAACTGTAATCCATTTTGTGGCTTGAAAATCTTACGCCAACTGAAATCTGGTACGTAAGGGTACTTGAGGATCGGGGAGGATGGGGAATCCAAGCCAATGATTTCAGTTGAATCTTTCTGAATACAGCCACCTGGATCACAAGTTGGGCAGAGGGTGATGGTCGAGCCTATAAGTATACAGAGAAGAATCTCTCTATGCCTGAAGTACACCAGATAGCATAGTGGAGACACCTAGTTGTCAAGAGAAGCCTTCCTGCTAGCCAGGTTCCAGAGCCGCATCAGTCTCAAATAAACACAGAGGAGGCTATATTAATTAAGAAGCTATTGGCCTTGCCTGTTTCTTACTGGCTAGCTCTGACTAAAGAAATTACCCCATAATTGTTAATCTAAGTATTTCTCTTACCGGAGAATTTTCTGGGCTTCTTATCCCTATGGCAGTTACAGCTTGACTTCCTGTGTTTCTCCTACCCAGAATCCTGCTTGACTCCTAGTCCCACCTATCTTGGTTCCCTATTGGCCAACAGTGCTTTATTGACACCTAGTGACTTCCAAAGGGGTACATCATTGTGTCTAGAGTCCCAAATGTTGCTGGCATACCTAAGATATGTAGGACCTCTAACTCTGCTTAAACTACCTAGACTTCTTGCTCAATCCGTGGCATTAGTGATACATTATCCTCATCCTCTGGGGCCAGAACTCTTGTGTGATATCCAACAGGAGTCCAAGTCAGTCATGGGGGCCACACACAGTGTAGGAGCTATCCTCGGTGCATCTTACATCCCCAGACACCAGGGAGGCACACAGATGCACTGATACTATTGGTATTTGGGCTCAGAGATGTTAGCAAAGCCTGAAGTATGCTTGGGAATGTCATGGGGGCCTCGAAGGGTAGTGGAGGAGACTTGTCCCCATCCTGCTCTCCTACTGCCTCACCCTCAGGTTTTGACCTGTGCTGTTATGCAGGGCCTCTGAGGGAAGAGTAGAAGCAGTGACCTGGGATCTGGTCCTTGAGTCGCAAGCTGTGTTACTGGTTTAAGGAAGTCAAACAAAATGTAGGGAACAGCCAACCAGATGATGTACTCAATGACAAAGCGGGTGGTACATACCGCCTTGGGACATAAAGTGGCACACGTCTGGAGCACAGAATGAAGGTTTCTCAGCACATAGCATTAGGGTTCTCTGTAGGGAAGTTTCTATAAGTGGGATGGCACCCTGGGCAATAAGCTGTCTGTAGGAAAGAGTTGCCTGCTGCTGCATGATCTCAGCCTCCACCTGGGTGAAGGGTGCAACGATGCTGTAGTCCTGAGTGCACTTGTCATGGAGTGAGCTGCAGCTCTGAGTGATGGCTGGCAATAACCCACACACTAGGCTGCCAAAGACTACTGCTGCGATGACCATTAGGGCAGTGCATAGCAGGAGTTCCACTCATCACTACAGACTAGCTGTCCATCACACACCCATGTCTCATACACAGGCTCCTAACCCCAGCGATGGAAGTTGCAGACTAGTATTGACTTTAGCTCCTCTCATCTGCTCCATCAGTAATGAATGTCTGGTTGGTGTCATGGTAGGCAGGCTGTGGCAACAGGGTATAATGCATCTCCACATAGGACCTTCCTGGGTGGGCAACAATGGCAACCCTCTTCTCTTGTTCCTCCACAAGTTCCCCATTTCCAATGCCCACATCATTCCTCAGGGAGGGTGAGGCGCTCCTTGGGGGGATCTCCAGAGTCTGTCATTTCATCCAGGGCAGGACATAGGCCCTTCCCCTTGTGTCCAGGCTGAGAGTGTGTCCCTCCATGTGGAATGGGCTCCCACAATTCATTTGTATGTCATGGTGAACACTAGTCTACTACCCAAGTCCCCAGAGATCCATCTCTGGCAATTATCCTTTGTCATATGACAGAACGATTGTTGTCAGATCATTAAGTACCTCAGAAACGGGTGACTGATTGAATACACATTTTCTAATTAAAGATTTCTTGCATTACTACTTTAGCAAAATAACTGTTTCATACTACCTACTTATCCACAAAATGTTAAGAATTTCCATTTATTTAGGTCTTTATGATCATCAGTTTCAAAGGTCATGTATGTGTTTAGGATTGCTCTAGTGTACTCCATAGCTGTTCTTATTAACAGCATGTTTTTAAATGTTGGTACTCCAATATATCTTTTTATATATGTTAAACGGTACTATGAATGGGACTGTTTTCCTGATTCATTTCTCAGTATGTCTGTCTTTGTATACTGGAAGTATACTGAATTTTGTTTGTTACTCTTGCATCCTTCCACTTTTATGACGATATTTAGTTTTATTTGTTAATATTCAGACCATCAACAATAAGCAACCATGGAAACCCTCCTCATGCGAGCCAATGGAACATTCCCTCAAACCATCATGGCACTGAACCTCAGTAGAGTAGTACTTGCCTAGATTTCCCCTACACACCAGTCCTGAGCCCAAGTCACATGTTCTCTCCAAAGGCAAACTTTATTCTCAAACATGGTAGGTAGCATTAAAGCCCAGGCCATCGCGCCACGTTCAGTATTTCTATCATTGTATACAGGAAGAATACTGAATTTTGTGTGTCAGTTTTGCATCCTTCCACTTTTATGACTGTATTTATCAGTTTTAAAGGATTACTGAAGCCAGGCATAGGTGGTACACGACTTTATTGCCAGCACTGTTTGTGCCAGGGATTCGTTTGAGTAACAAGAAGTTGTCTTAGATATTTCCAAGTGAATGCCTATATTATTTCATGCTGAACAATATTCCATGGAAAAGTTTAACCACATTGTGCTTTCTTACTCTTAGAAAGATGGACATCTGAATTATTTCTCCCCAGCGCTAATCAGAGGAAAGGCGCTATGACACTCATGTTCCAAGGTTCTTTGTGGACACTTACTGCATGTCCTGGAATCACTGGGTCTCTTGGGGACTGCAGTTTAACTTTCTGAGTGTGGCTTCTCATCGCCCTGTCATGTCACCACCATGCATGATTGAGGGCTTTGTTTTCTCCCAACCCTCAAGGAGGTTGATTGAAACTCACAGTTTCCATTGAGTCTGGAGCTGAGTAGCTTCATCAAACCATTGGCCATCTCCTTTCACAGCTTTGCATCTGGCAAGGACTCCACCTGATACCACAGCCTTCACAGTGCCTGATGGGCCCCCTGTTCCTCCCTATGGAACCCCCACTAGGCTCCTGCATATTGTTTATCCCCATATGTCTTCCAGCTGCTGTCCTGTCTGTCCAAGTCATATGAGTTCCATGCTATCCCCAGCTCCAGGACACTGTGTTTGATTGGAGTAGCTACCTGAGCTGCTCCTGAGCTCAGCCAGCCACAGTAGTGCTGGCCTGACCAGGTTAAGCTGCTCTCCATCTCCCTGGACTGAGCCAAGGAGGCATCCGTGAGGCATCCAGAAAGTTCCTGGCAGGCGGCACCAGGCAGGGTGACACTGCCACATGAATACTCAGATGTCCTACAGAGCACATGGACCTACACTCTAACAGGAGAGATTCCTTCCATTTTTGATATTTTCAGTTCTTTTTATTAGTATTTTTATTATTAATTTTTAATGAATATTATTATTGCAAATTCTTGTTCGTATATAATTTAAAGCCAAGAAAATGTTTTGCATGGATTAACAAAATACAACAGCGCAGTGACTATGTAGGTAGAACAAAAGATACCAGATACTTGTTTAGGTGACAGATGAGTTTAAACTGGGGCCTTGGGCAATAGACCAGTGTTTACCATGGCTTATGAATGAACTGTGAGAGCCCATTCCACATGAAGGGATGCTCTCTCAGACTGGACACATGGAGAAGGGTCTAGGTCCTGCCCTGTGTGAAATGACAGGCTCTAGAGATTCCCCCAAGGAAGGCCTGACCCTCCCTGGGGAATGATGTGGGAATTTAGTGTGGAGCAAGGGAGGCTGGTGGAAGGATAAGGGAAGGGGGGGTGGGAGAGGGAGCTGGGATTGATGTGTGAAGCATGCATGTTTCTAATTTAAATGAAAACTTATTTTGAAGATGAAAGTCTGGTTAAAACCAAAACCAAAACCAAAACCAAAAAGAAACACATCAACCCAGCCCCAGTAGCTAAGAACACCATTACATCTCATCTTTCACTTGTAAGCCTTAGTAATAGTTCAGATGTGAGAACTCTCATCTTTAAAACGTTTCCTAATGATTTTTCAGACTGGTATGAGCCTGCCAGCTGCCTTCTTCCTGAATTATAATCTTTCAGACTTCAATATAATGCCAAGAATATCCCTTGGTAAGAGTAGCTGCCCTTCTGCCTTGCTTGCTGAGGTTGTTTTCCTTTCGCAACAATGTTACAACTTTCCGGGGGCGGAGCAAGGAAGAATCCTTGTTTTGCAAAGGTTGGTCCTGGCTTCCTTGCCATCATGCAGTCGGTGTTTACCTTAGAGCCTTCTGCTCTGTGGAAGCTTAGAGCAGTGCTTGGTTCATAATAGATGGGAAAAAATGGCTTCATTCCTAGCTGTTTTCAGTTGATCCCCAAAACTGCACTAGAAATAGTATAAATAATTACTGAATATTTTTATTATCTTCTGACTTTATCATGGAATATCTTGTTTTCTTCCATCTATAGTGATTGGGAGTTTTGCTGGGAGATGTAGTCTGGGTTAGATGCTGTGGTCTCTTAGTGTTTGTAGAACATCTTCCCAGGACCTTCTGGCTTACATTGTTTCCATGGAGCATTTGGGTGTAATTCTGATAGGTTTGCCTTTATATGTTACTTGGGCTTTTTCCTTTGCTGCTTTTAATACTTCCTTTATTCTGTATTTTGGTATTTTGATTATTATGTGGCGAAGGCACTTTTATTTTAATATTTTGGTCCATT